AAAATTCACTGCAGCAGTGTGAAGCGAGAGGAGCAGCAGCAGTAGCAGTGAAGACAGCAAGATCACTGCTGGCAAACTGTTGACGCTGATTTTCGGTGATATCGTACAGCTGCTGTTGGCTGGCATGCACTTGATGCGATCAACAAACTGCCAGCAGAATTACCTAAACACACTAACACATAGGAACAACGAGAATCCAGCTGTATGTGAGTATGTGCCGTGTGTGCGATCGGCGATCGATAGTGCCAACATGGTGGTTTCACAGCATAACATGTGCATGCACACGGCTATCAAGTAAAAAACAAAAATAAAAATCATTAAAAATGGCACACATGTGCAACTTCGGGTAATAGGAGCCCTAACAGATGCTACCACAACACTCCTGTTGATGTGCAGAGGCGCAGGAACGTTTGGTTTGCGAACACACATCGACTTGAAGATACTGAAATTGTGGCAGAGATGCAGAATTTGAGAAATATGATGATGGTGATGATCACAAAGTTGTTGTTGTTATTTTCCTTTTAACTGTCACTTTTTGCTTCAATTTTTATTTATTTTGCTTTTTAATGTGAGATTGTGTTTATTGCAACTACTCATAGTGTCGTTGCATTACTGTTGTTTTTTTATATACATATGTATGCTTATAAAAATCTACATATGAACTCTCATTGGCTACGGATAGATTCTTTAGGTTTTATTTTATTAAAAATTTTCATATTTATGTTGGAAAAAGTGACTTACACCATCGATATGAATGAATCGTCTCGAATATCTCGTTTATGTATCGTTTTGTTTGCTATATACAGTGGACGCTCACAAATTAGAGCCACTTTGGTTTTAAGATGATTCTAATTTCTGAAAAATTCTAAGTTCTGCAAGTTGTTTCATGAACATATTTTCCTGTTAGAAATACAAAATTCGATATGTTTCCAGTAAAAATTAAGATAATTAAGCTAATTTTCAATGCTAAGATATTGATTCATAAAATACGCTCAATTTTTTTATATTTTGTTTAACTAAAACAACGATGTGGATATGGAGATCCAGATCCAGAATAAAAAAATTTACTATGATTGCACCATTTTATTAACTCTTTTAAACAAAATATTGGCTCAATTACCGATAACAAAAAACTAAATACACTCAGAAATTCGAATTTTAGAGCGTTTAATATATGTGTTGTAAACTCTGATTCTAATTTCTGGAAATTCGAATTATTGAAGCAAAAAAAAAAAATTTTTTAACACCTAGAGGCGGCGCACTCAGCTTAAAAGTAAATTTTCGAGTTAAAATTTTTATTTCGTAAAAAGTTTTTGATAAGTGTTCTAGAAGCTGAAGCTCCTCTTTGTGGCCAATTTAACTTTATCAACTTAAAAAAATTTTTGTGGTCATGATTGAAGTTCTAAAAAAAGTATTTAATGACCACATGCTTTACTTAAGCGTTTAAATAAATTTTTAGTCAAAAACCGTCAAATTCGGTATATTTTATATAAACGTGAAGAGTTTAAACCTAAAATTATTTTTTTTGTCCAAAAAAAATTTTAACTCGAAATTTACTTTAAAACTAAGTGTGCCGCCTCTAGGTGTTAAACAATTTTGTTTTGTCCCAAAATTTTCTTTTTTTATAATCTACAGATTTTACCCCCAGGCTAAGCAACAGCTACAAAAAATTTTTTCGCTCCCCCCTAATGTAGAAGTATTTTACAATCATACAAGGTGGTACAGATTGTGTAATAAATCGATAAATTATTGTAAATCGATTAACGATATGAGTATATAAAATTGTTATAATACTAAAATATATCACACCATTACAATAAGTAAAAACCTTTTCATTTTTATACTCTCGCAACCTGTTGCTACAGAGTATAATAGTTTTGTTCACCTAACGGTTGTTTGTATCACCTAAAACTAATCTAGTTAGATATAGGGTTATATATATATAAATGATCAGGATGAAGAGACGAGTTGAAATCCGGGTGACTGTCTGTCCGTCCGTCCGTCTGTCCGTCCGTGCAAGCTCTAACTTGAGTAAAAATTGAGATATCTTTATGAAACTTGGTAGACATGTTTCTTGGTACCGTGAGACGGTTGGTATTGCAGATGGGCGTAATCGGACCACTGCCACGCCCACAAAACGCCATTAATCAAAAACAAATAACTTGCCATAACTAAGCTCCGCAATAAGATACAAGACTGTTATTTGGTACACAGGATCACATTAAGGAGGGGCATCTGCAGTTAGAACTTTTTTTTTAAAGTGGGCGTGGTCCCGCCTATAATAGGTTTAATGTGCATATCTCCTAAGCCGCTAATGCTATAATAACAAAATTCACTAGAAGCAAATGTTTTTAGCACTTCTATTGACGGTGTGAAAATAGTTGAAATCGGGTGGCAACTCCGCCCACTCCCCATATAACGGTACTGTTAAAAACTACTAAAAGCGCGATAAATCAAGCACTAAACACGCCAGAGACATTAAATTTTATCTCTGGGATGGTATGAGATGACTTTATAGGAACCGCGTTCAAAATTAGTCAGTGGGCGTGGCACAGCCCACTTTTAGGTGAAAACCCATATCTTGAGATCTGCTCAACCGATTTCAACCAAATTCGGTGCATAACGTTCTTTTCATGTTTCTATATCATAGTGCGAAAATGGGCGAAATCGAACTACAACCACGCTTACTTCCCATGTAACATCATTTTCAATTCCATCTGATTCTTTCACTTTCCACTATGCAAAACAGGTAACAATGATTATATCGGGGTAAAACTTTGCGTGAATAATGCAATTAAAGTATGCCACCTTGCGGCCAAAAATTGTCTAAATCGAACCAAAACTGTTTAAGCCCCTAAGTACTAAATATGTGGACCCCAGTGCCTATAGTTGACCTTCTACCGAAAATATCAGTCAATCCACAAAGAAATCTCAAACGAGTATACCATTTGACTTTGCGAGAGTATAAAATGTTCGGTTACATCCGAACTTAGCCCTTCCTTACTTGTTAATTTAACAATTCATAAAAAAATACAGTAATAACATTGGACTAAGAAGCGCGATGTATTTGCACCCACTGCAAATTTGTATGACAGTTATATGCTATAATGATCCGATATTTGTATCCGGTTTCAACAATTAAACAGCTTCTTGGGGCGGAAAGGACGTGTGCAAATTCAAGATCGACACTCATCATTTATATATGTATATATATTTTATAGGGTCTCCGACGTTTACTTTTGGGTTATAAACTTCTTGACAAACTTGATAAACATATAGAATTCAAATTAGAATCTTATGAGGTTTGCACCGCGACCTAGGGTCTATTGTGCCCTCACCTCCATCACATAAATTCCCAAAGTCCCAGCACCATGACAAACTACAGAAATCTGCTGGGTGCTATTGAGGTTGATAAACATATAACATATGTAGATATGTTAGCATCTATTGGAGAATTTTCTAAAAAACTTTTACAAAACTTTATGAAAAATAAAATCAAAGAGACCAGTTCCTAATTTTCTTACTTAGAACAAATAACAGCCTTCATTTTATTTTTACCTTTGCTAGTTTTAAATTTCGATAACCTATTGATTATTATTTTATAACATCACTAAACTACTGCCCCGATTATCGTACTACTTGCAAAAAAAGGACACTCGGAAGAAAAATTATGAATATATACATATGGTATGTATGTATGTAGCTCAGTAATACACTTTTAATATTACTTTTACATTTCTCTTTCACATTGGCAATCAAAGCTAAATAGGATAAGATGGCACAAATGCAAAACAAAAGAAATATTCTAAACTAGCGTCCGCCTACCCCATAATTTATTTCCTCCTTTTCTATATTTCTACAAGATTCATTCTAGTTTAAAATCAACAAAAATTTAATCTACATACATATTAATCTTGCTCTTATTGGGACTAGACCGCAGAATTTCAAATTTTTTCGGGAAATTGTTCTTTGCTTTGTTCCTTTTTAGTTGAATTTGACAGATAAAAGAGTATATATCCAAATGGCCAATGCCCCGTTATGGTGGCTGTAAGTCTATATATGCTTTTCCTGGACCTATTAAATACTTCATTAGTTCTTATCTTGTCATAGTTTGGCTATTTGTTGAAATTGCTTATTTAGCTCCCTGTTGCTCGTTCCTAATGGGCACGGTATTGTCTCCGCCACAGACTCGTCTAGAGAGACTCCGGACTTGGCCAACTCGTCCGGTTTTCGTTGCCGAAAATGTTCCTAAGACCGTGAACCCAAATTATGGACAAGTGGAGTTGACCTGCCAGTGTGTTTAAAGCCTTCCTACATTTGTTGAACGCGCTGGAGTATAGCCTTGGCGACGACAAGGCTGACAGTGCCGCCTGGCTATTTGTGCATATGGTAGCTTTCAGTATCCTCCCGTAGTTATTCAGTAGAACTTCACAGGCCTTCTCTATGCGCAGTACTTCCGCTTGGAAGATGCTAGCTGAGTTTGGTAGACGGAAGGAGAGAGAGATATCAAGATCCTCGGAGTATAAACATCTTCTCCATTCACGTCTAGAGGGTATTCTCACCTGGAAGTCACTTTTGAAATCCAACCTTGGGAGAATATAATCTGATCTATCTAGATTTATTTCTAGCTGGTTGAGCATATCGCTATGGATAGTATATTCTGTCTTTAATGTGTCTGACTGAAACTGAACTAGAAAAATTTAGATCAATATAATTAGTTCGCCAAGATCTGTCGCTTTGTCTAATGACAAGTTCATTCGATTTATCTCCTTCTCTATAAACCATGTTTGAAGATAAAGTAATCCAGCTAAATTCAATAAAACCGAGATATCCCATCCCAGATTAAACTTTTATTTAAATCGTTTTATGCCGTTAGTCTAATGCAGTTAGACTTATTCGATTTACCACTCTTTTAAGACTAGCGAATGTTGTTGATGTGTTTTTTTTTTCATGCACAATATTCTAGACTTACTTTAATAATTAATTATATTTAAACTCACATCTAGTTGGCTAAAATTACCAGAGTTAAGCGGTCACTCGTTTTTCAGCAATGGAAATATGCGAGCAGAACGAAGCTAAACGAGTTAAGTGGATATAAATCCAACAGCTTGTTGATTGATGTGAATTTTTGTGGCGAAATTTTTTGTAAGAAAATTAACTCACTTTAACAACTTTTCGTGCTCAAAATTTATAAGATCACTATTCGAATATACTATATGAGATCGCAAACTGATATTTTTTTATCAAATCTTCCACTTTTTAACTGCACCAATATGATCCTGAGAAAGTTCTACACATGGAACTTGAATAGTTCAATAAACTATTAGGCACTTTTTAACTACACAGTGATTTTATTTTAATATTATGGGTTTTTCTCAGAATTTTTCGGCACTTTTATTAAGAAACTACCATTAATTTTCTTTTACTTTTTAGTTAAAAACACTCATTTCTCGAGCAAAATATCAAGGTTTATAACCACTTATTCCGCACCAAAATTTTTAAGAATTTTAAAATACTTTAAAAAAGTTTTAAAGCTTTTTTTATTTATTAAAGCTTCTTTTTTAACTATCACTAAGCACCTTTTTCTATTTACATATATATATATATGTATATTGAATTTATTTTATAAAAATCTTATTGACTTTAGCTCGGCTAAAAGAATCACAAATCACTGTATGAGATCGTTCTTTTTACGACTTTAACGATCTTTCGTATCGATCACTTTTTAGTTTTGGTTAGATTTTTAGTTTTGAACGCGATCGTGCACCATAATTAAAGCTTTTGTTTATGTATGTTTGTACATAGGTTACACCGTTATTTGCCAAAAAACACAATAATTTCACTTCTATGAAAAACAAATTCGCACTTTTTCGCACCAATTGACAATATTTCACTAAAATTTATAGTTTCACTCTCGGCTCGCAATACATTTGCTCTAGTAGTTCACTTTTCTTTCGCCAGGATCATGTTCCAACGAACTCTCTCGACAACAAAGTACAAATATTGGCGACCGATCGCCTCACAACTCAAATTGGATGAACTGTGCGTGCATGCGCCTTCGTAAATTGTTGCTATTTCTTACACTTGCCGTCTGTTGTTATTGGCTTTGTAGCCGCAGACGCCGATATTTACTTTTGTGCAGCGATCAGTTGGTTTTTGGGCGCTACGATCGCTACGATAGTTGCAGTAGGTAGTAGGTATGTAGGTAGAGCCGACAAATCTTATGTTACCACGGCGCACACACATATGCAGACGAGTGCACAGTTGTTTGTATACACATACGTATACGTTAGGGTACCTGCTGCGTGGTTGACTGACTGCCTATCGGTCGTTGCGTCGATCGATCTATCAGTTTAGCTGCTTGGCTAGCTATTGGCTTTATGTTGTTGCTGCTGTTTTTATTGTCAACGACGTCGTCGTCGCCTTCGCCTTAGTTCGCTTTATGCCGCCGGCGTTCGATATGTGCCCGTAGTATGCTAGTGAACTGTGCCCGTCAAGCTCTGCAGGTTTGTAGCGTTGAGTGTCTCAGCGTTCGTGTATATGCATGTGTGTGTATTTAAGTAGGCAGCCTGCAAGAGGCCGTTGGATTTTCGGCTGCGCCCGGCGCTGTTTCAATAGATTTCTTTGTTTTTGCAGTTGTTGTTGGTCGGATAAGTTAATGTACTAATACATTTAGTATATGTATATGTATGTTTCCTGCTTGAAACAGAGGTTGCATGTAGGTTTTTAGTTTGCCGCAAAAACATATGAGCGCTGAGCCACCGACAACACGCTGAGCGAAAAATATAATTTTTTTGTTTTTGAAAAAAAAAATTGTATTTTTATTTGTAATTTATATTTTTTTGTTGTGTTAGAAAATATTTATTTTTTATTTTAAAATTTTTGTTGCATTTACTGTCAATGAAACTATTATTGCACTTTTTGGCTCATCACTGTATTTTTTTGAATTTTCGTATAAAATTTTTTTAATATATTTTTTTTAATGATTTAATAAAAATTTTCAAATAAAAGTTGACACTGTTTTGCGCTTACGTAAAATTTATATTTATTTTGCGCTTGACAGCTAATGCGGTACACTTATTAATTTACTTTCAATGACTTTTATTTTGCATTTTCCGTTAGTTATAGATTTTACTTATATTAAATTGCTCGCACTCAAAATTTCTACTGTTAAAATTTGCCAAAATCACAAATTACGCACGCTTAGTTTAAAATTATTTTAAAATACAAGAATTATTTTTACTCTTTTTTTCACGCTTCGCCCGCTCAAAAAATTGAATGCTTTGCCGCACGCAGAGTGTTGCTATCAACTGATTTCGGTCGCTCTGTTGTTCTGTCAAAGTTCTCCTATCCCTAAAACACTGTTGCCAAGTCGCTGCTGGCGTCACTGCCGACGTAGCCTGCACTGCCACACACACATATATGCTAGCGATCGTTCGTTGGGGCTCTCTTTCGTTCGACTTTGCTCACGATTTTGTTGTATCTGCGAGTTGGCTATGCTATTAGCTTACACTCACATATACTTGTATACATATGTATGTACTCGTTTGCATGGGTTTGTTTAGATTCTTTTTTGACCACGCTGAATTTCGTACAGCTGGAAGCCGCTGATAACCAAGCGAAAAGTGAGAGTCCAAGTGCGATTATCTAGAATTCTGAGTAAATGCATACAAATATACGACTATTTTACTGGGTCCACGGCCCAACTTGAAGCCAGTTTGCTTCGTGCAAAGTGTACACACACAAGCATATACAATATTTAAATAGATATCAATTGTTTGTCTGTAGGCAGCCTAATCTAACAGTGAATTTGATAAGAAAAGTATAGTCGGTTGATAACGGCACATCGTTCATATTGACAAAGTATAAATTGCTCTTCAACAATTTCGCATGCATTTCTAAAAGCAGGGATCTCAAAAAAAACAAAGAGAAGGTACTCAAAGCGCTCCTTAAAAACAACTCAAGTAATTTGTATATGTAAACCTAATTCGCAAACAATTTTTTGGCATTGAAGCATATAAAATCTGAAGGTAGTCCAGCAAAGAGTTTTGGAGATATGAGCCTATTTGCAAGAACATGTTTTTTGGAAACGCTGTTTAGGGAATCTAAAATTTTTCAATATAAAGCCCCGATTATTGAGTACATGAAATTCCGCAAATGTAGATTATTTTTATTATTTTATTAAATAAAAATTCGGGGAACTTTAAGAAAAGGAGAGAGCCAATTAGGTGTTAGATCCGTGGTGAGAGAGAGACGTCACAGAAAGTAAAACAAATCAATCAAAGGTTTTTTTTACAAATGCATAGAACGTAGCTTTAAGCGTTAGCCGATCATAATCTTAAAATGGGACTTAGTGAATATAACCGCAAGGTTCACCTATAAAGAATATATGGCACTTTTCGGGTTTATGGTTGACTTTAAGATAGATAACTCAGATAAAAACTGAGCGAAATGGCCACATTCAGTCCACAAATTTACATAATAATGAAGACTGATTTCCTCTGATTTTCTCTCTTTCATTCTCCATTATAAACTTTCAAATCACTTTTACATTCTGGAAGAGAATTTGATATTCTGTTCTGCCCGCATTTAACCACTCCTTACTCAGTTTTTTATATTTTTATTGTTTTATTTATCTCACCGCTCGACGCAGCATAAATAAAATGGATATTTGTGCATACACCATATATCATATGATTTTTGTACATATACATATGCATGTGTGTCTGAAATCGTGCTTTTTACTCTAATTCATAAAAATAAATTCATGCACATATACATACTTGTACATATTTACACACATATGCAGGCCTCTTTAGCCAAATTAAAAAAAAAAACAATGAAAAACGACCATTCCAATGCAAATCGAGCGACCGAGTAAGCAAACGCCTGCAGCGACGCTTACGCCAATGCCAGCATAGGCGTCAACGTCATACATCAAGCGCACCGTATATTTATCGTACGGAGAAGAAGAGGAGAGCACGCCGGTAAGGAGCAGCGACGTGAGAAAGTCAATTCATTTGCAATTGCAGAACCAAAACAGAATCGAATTTTCGCTTCTTGGTCTCTTGCCGAGTTTTGTTTTTACACTTTTCACACATTATGACAGCAATACATCGCGCGCTTGTTGTTTTTGTAATCTGGATTGTTTTTTTTTTTGGCGAAATTGTCCCCACTTCGCTGAGCTCGTTGGTGTACTGGGCGCCGCTGTGGGGGAGTGAGGTGTGGCGGTTTGGGCAGCTGATGTTGTCATAACTATGTGACAGCATTTATGAACCAGCTTGCAACACCGATAGGCGATTACCTTACGACTAATTCCAAAGTATAATGAACACAAATTGTTTTTGTATTTCCACCAGTTTTTTAACGAGTCGGCGGCGCAGTGCAACGTGTTGTAGAGAGAGTCGATTGGCAGCGTTGCAGTTTTAAGAGTTAATATCCAGTGTAGCCATCAGCGCACCTTTCACATACGCGTGTGTTCGTGTATGTCGCATTGGTATTGATTTACTACGCATGTTCATTTGTATGTCGGCAGTTGAATTTTATGAATGAACTTTCAATTGTGCTTCGAGCTTTGAGCGGTCTTTGCGTTGGTAGACCTGTTATACCCAGCTATGCCTAATATGTTGCTAGTGAATCGAAGACCGAGATAAGATGGATTAAAGGTGGAAAAACTAAGTGTTTTGGGGTTCCACATTGTGATGGGATAAAGACCTTGTTTTACAGTCGAAACAGCCGGGAGCGGATTTAACCTTACGTCAGTTACCATGAAAATGGTCTTAGCAGAGGCTTGAACAATACCTTTATTCGTCGATTTTAGAGTTTCGAAGATTATCAAATGGGAATGGTTAACTGTTATATCTTCTTCCAAAAAGTAAAAATACTTTAATGCCACGACAAACCCTACCTGGCTCAGAAAGATGCTCTACAAACTGGGTAGCGCAAAATCAAAAAACAGTTAAACAATGGAGTTTTCACAAGCCGAAGTTGCTAGCTTCGGAAAATCGAGCCTAACTCGAGCAAATAAAAGTTATTTGCTAACGCATTAGCAGATATTTGTATTAAAGTAAGTTAAACACTGCTGACAAGTTCTTTCGAATTAAGTGCATCGAGCTATTTTGGAAACTGTGATGAGAAATAAATCACAATATTTGAACACCTCCCCAGACTTTATCTTGATTGGAAGAGTTTTTAAAATTATAAGACCAACGAAATTAAATATTCAAATTTTAAGATCAGGAAATGTTTGACAAATAATTTATTTGCGCCATCTGTTGACGAATAGTTTTATAAAGTAATTCAAACCTTTTGAACACACTCTACAGGGTTGCAACCAGAGAACGTATAGCATGATATACGTTCTCTGCTTGCGAATAAATTTTTGACAGCACCAACCGTAGCAGTTGTCTTCATTCTGGTTTCGAGTATTCTTATCGCAAATATAATTTGTGAAGAATTTTAATTAAAACACATTTAAAACAAGGTAAATGTAACATGAAAAAAAGTGTTTGTCTAACTATGCTTCAATCAATATAACAAACAAAACAGACTACCGAACAACGAAAAGCGAAGTGACAAACGTCATTACATAACCTTTTAGGTTACTCTGCTATGCTCTGCGTGAAATTAAAAATTGTTTGCCTGCTAAACATTTAAAAATCATTTGCAGATGTTGTCACAATCAGTACTGTCTACCGTACGCGTGCTGCGCACCGAGGCACGTCGTAGCATTGGCATCATGGCACCAGCGTTCAACAAAGTCTCCGACCCCATCCAACAGCTCTTCTTGGACAAAGTGCGCGATTACAAGAAGCGCAGCAGGTACGCATACTAATTATAATAGTAAATATATAGTAGGAAAATATACGAGTACCTTTTGTTTTTCCATATTTTAGTGGTGGTAAATTGGTTGACCCAACACCCGAAATTGAACGCGAGTTGAAGAACGAATTGGAACGCGTCGCAAAGCAATACGGAGGTGATGGCAAGGTTGATATGACTAAATTCCCCGAATTCAAGTTCCCAGAAGTCAAAATCGAATCCATCACTTCAACCAATTAACTTTTTTCATATTATTTAGGATGCAATTTTCAATTGCCGCTTGTGGCCAACTGCCAACGGTGCATTAAGAAGTTTTGCGTGTTAATTAAATACGGTAAACAATTTATTTCTTTATGGTCTTAAAATAATAACGCCTACCAGAAGAAAATAAAAAAAAAACTAATGGTAAAACACACACAACACTTTTATGTTTGTTAGTGAAACGTACTTAAAGTAGATTAAGTTCAAATATAACGGGTTACGTCGCAATGACTTGCTCCACTGTCTCCTGCAGAAGTTGCATTTTGTGATATTCCGCGACACGTCGGAAGGTGCGTAGCAGACCGTTGATTTCACGACCGCTTATAAGTGGCACAAATTCGCCAGCGCAAGGACAGAACTCAGCGAGATTTTCGCGTTTTATTTCATTACAACGTGCGCACCTCAGATCCTGCAGCACATAGGACATGACTTTGCGTTGCACTACGTCGATAATGCGCATTTCGATCTCTTCATTTTCATATGCAACAAAGCATTGTGCACACAACCAAACAGGGCTGTAAAAAAAAAAAAAATATATGTTTGTTAACAATTATTGACATGAGAAAAGTAGTTTAAAATATGTCAATAGCAGTGCTGGTCATCAAGTAGCATTTATATTTTAAGTTAGTTAGATTGCTAGTCGCATTATAATTCTAAAAAAAAATTATTTGGTATCTAATGTACTTACATGCCATCCTTCATTGCGCGATGTTTGTCTTTGCACAAGTCCAAATCGCGACAGTGATTACATGCTTTACAAATCACTTCAGCAATGGTGTAAGTGTCGCTTGGGTCTTTCCATTCAGCAAGATCTGAGAACTCGCCAATACCCACGAGCCGTAACATGTTTCGTCGCAACTCGTTCACATCGTCTGTCAAACCCTTGTCAACACTCAACGCTTTCACTACTGCCCGCGTCAAGTCTAAACCGGGACTTGGTCGCCCTTTGCCGTAATTTTTATGCAATTTCGATACAAAATCAAAAGCAGGATGTGATATTTCCTTGATAGCTTGTCTGGTGTCTTTGCCTTCGGCTAAGGATTGCATAAATAGGGTGAGCAGCGTTTCGAATTTCTCGCGGCAGTCATTCTCATCGGGCAGATGTTCACCAATGGTCCAATTCAATTCCAGCGATAGCTGTTGCTCGCTTTCAGCGTCGGCTGTACCGGTTTCATCTGCCTCTGGACGCATAATCTCTTCAATTTCATCATCTTCCTCCTCTTCGTCCTCATTGGTGCGACGCTTAGGCTTCGATGTGCTATTCGCCTTATCGCCATCGTCGTCGTCATCATCAACACTACACAAAACGGTGTCACTCGTTACGCCCGGGGGCAGCTGACCACGTATGCCAGTGTAATTGGCATGATCGAGCCACAGCATAAAGTTCCAGCATTGCTCATAGGACAACTGTATCGAATGGAAGAGTTCCTTATTGCGTAAGCTCTGCACTACATACTCCACATAGCCCAAAGCATCAGCCACCGACTTTTTACTCGAATTAAGTATGATACGATTGAAGTCGGCATAGATAATTGTCGCGCCCAAGCGCTTGAACTCCGCCACAATGCGCAAGAACATTTTACGCATTAAATTATTCAAAGTCCGCCGAAGAGCCGGATCGTACAATAATGCGTTTGAAGAACGCACCCAACGATAGAAATGTATCAATTGGAAATCAGCGAATATATTCTGGTTCAGTGCTACTTCGCGCAACCAACCGTTAACCATATGTCGCAACACACGAAAGGCGGCGGAGCAAAGTGCGGTTTCATCATAACTGGGTAGCGTTGCCGCGGGCACGGTGCCAATCATTTCCTCTAATGAAGCTTGTGGTATCACATCGAAGGTTACCGCCGAACTGGCGCCCTCCATCTCTTGTATGCGATTTGATTGTAGTAGGGCGCTAACGGCCAAGCTATCTAACGCCAGCTCTACACACACATCACTATAGAATCCCGGTCGGTTCTGTACGACCGTAATGCTCTCTTCAAATTCAGCCAATAGACGACTATCATCGGCCTCACGACCACCCAAATCCGGTCGTGTAGTGGTCGACCACCAAAGCACGAAGTTATTGCGCTGTAGAATGCGCGCAAAGAAGAGATCCGCGCCAAAGAGCACTGTGTCGGTTGGCATATTACCGATGGGGACCTGTGGGGTATTAAATGAAATTTTAAGGCGAAGATACCTCTTAGGTGTACTGTTTAAATTTTTAAGAATCAAAAAATTTCGCCGAAAGAAACATTTAAAAAAAACGGGAAATTTGAGGTTGTCTGGATATATTAAAAATTTGGAAAAAAAACTTCGAAACCCATATCAGTTACTAAATATTTAAAGATATTTCAACATTTTTGAAATCCGTTCACAATTTTTAAAAGGAAAAACGGTGTAGATTAGAACGGTATTTTGAGGTTTAATTTAAGTTTTCAACATAAAAAGTTTCGAAAACAATATCCGTTACTAAGTATTTAAATATACTTCAGGATGTTCGAAATCCGTTCACAGAAATCCATTTCTAGAAGAGATTAGCTTGTAAATGTAAAGTTAGAAGGTAATTTCAATATTTCGAAGTTATTTAAAAATCCAGCGATCTAAAGTTTTTAAAACTTTAAGCTTTACTAGATATTTCGTTAATTTCTATTACAAATTTAAATTTCAATTCATGTCATAGTAATAAGAAATTGGTCCTCAACCCCAAGTTCACGAATTTTTTTTTTCAAGTGTTTACGTACCTGGAAGTAGCGACACTGATCCAACATCATCTCGACCACATTGTTCAAATGCAGAAAGTGACGCACCAAAGCGCGTGAGCCTTGACGCTGCCAATCCAAACCGGACAAAAGGGACGCATCGTCTGTGATGTGTATGAGCGCTTGTGGGAAATCTAGTAACACAGGCATTGCCGAATTGAGCTTTCGCGCTTCCGTCGCCGTTTGCACATACAACATGGACGGACCGCGTTTCTCATCCTTATAGGCGGTAAGCGCGCGTTGTATATGACGGTAGATCTGCTTCACATCCACCTCGATGAGCACTTCAAATGTAAACTCTTCCGGTGGCAAACGTTCTATTTCAGCCATATCTTTCATAGTTTTGATGAGCGCCAAGCGTTCAGCTGTGTAGAGCGTGCGCATATTTGGCATTTGATTGGTGCGCACTGTATCTAAGGCGAATATAAATGCCTTTCTACTGGACAATAGAAAAAGGCCCCATATTTCCTTTTTGGCTGTGGGCGTATTGTGTTGGTAGAGATATATTTTACGCAATTTGTGCTGAGAGTCTTTCAAATACGTGTGACCCTGCAGGCGCTGCTCCAGCTGTTCAATCGAGAAACTATCCAAATCCTTGGTGGCAAGCGCGGCCAAACGTTGCGCCTCCTGACGCTGCACTGAACACATACATCCCATATCCATTAGGGCGCGAAACTCCAAAGACATTTGTGTCTCATAGATACCCTCAATATCAGGCGTTGCCAGATCGGCCAGCATACCCAAACAATTATCCTTGAACACCTGCTCCGGCACGCTGTAACGATACAGATTATAGACGGGACGCGCGCGTGGTAGCACGCGGTTGACTTTCTTCCACAATTGTCCATCTTCGGGTGGCGCAGCGTTGCGTTGGTTCACATAGAAAATACGCGGCACCGTCAACTTAATGCGATGCAGCTCGTCGCCAATCATCAGCCACACTGTGAAATGGCCCATATCGTCATTTGGCACTATTTGCAACACATGCCACACGTGATCGATGAGCGCGCGTTGTGCGCGTCGCAAGAAGCCGCCTATGGTACCGGTGGCTGTCACGCCATCTCTGGCGCTTGGCATTAGTGGTGCCAATGTTTGTTCGTTGCGCGGCCGCTTATTGGCTTGGCGCACGCGCAGTCGACGCTCCAGCTGCCACGCCCACTTTTTCTTTTGAAAACGCACCCAATTGATTATTTCGGCGCGCGTTGTGCCAATCGGTGGCGGCGCGCCAAGCGCTTGGCGCCATGTTGCCGCCCCCGCTGCCTTATTTGCTTCATCTTCCGTCTCGTCGGTCTCACCGGAATTTACGCGCTTGCGCTTGGTTACAATAGGACGGCCGTCGAGAGAACCTTCAGCTGTGTTCCTTGCCACTAAATCCTCCATATCGGCTACCTCGCTAGTGGCGCGTATCTCACGAGCTGTTTTTGCCTTCGGCATGAACATTTCATTAATGCGCCGCTGCTTGAGCACATCGTTCTTTTCGAGTATTTTTTTATGTAACCAATCGGGATGTTGAACGCGTGGCACCGGATTCGAAAGTCCCTGCAGCGCTGCTGGTATGGTGATAATCTTTTGTATAGTGCCACCCAAACGTTCAATGTAATAGTTCCAGTCCAGCACATCACGTATATCTGCATCGCCCATTGTGCTATCTTTGAGCCAGCGACGTAAATGATAACGACGTACATTCGGTTCCGACTGGAAAATTGCCAACGGAATCGCACGTTCTGTGACAGGCGCACCTTCTGGTTTCTTCGAAATTATATACTTGCAAGCCAAACCTGCATCTTTGACTATCTGATCGCCCAAGAATTCGGCCAGACGCTTCGCTGTGGAAATGGAAGTACTCTTCTGTTCACCATAATCTTCAAGTTTCTTGGACATCGATTTATTTTCAGCGATCAAATCGAAGAGTTCAGAGTCAGGTAGATTAGAACCGCGACTATAAAGCACATCCAGCCAGTAGTCAGCGACTTTGGCGACAGAAGCATAGCATTCCTCTAAAGTATTGCCTGCCAAGAAAGCTTCGAAGACTGAACTTTGAAAGTTCTTAATTAACTGCAATTCACCACGACGTTTCACCTCAAAACCTTTTAACTCAGCGAGCGAACCATCGAAATTAAAAACAGCATAGCGTTTTTTTAGCTTTTTGCCCTCTTCTTTGGCAGCCGGCAATACCATCGCCAAGTAGGGACCATCCACCTCAAAGAAAATTGAATTCTCTTCACGTATGCGATATTCCGGCAATTTGCCATTTTGCGCGGGCTTGACCAATTCATGGTATTGATCGTTGGTGAAATACTCTTTCACCATCGTGTTCAACACGGCATTGGGATAGGAGATGTTAAATTTCTTTTTCTTTTCATGGGTCGTCTGTATTGAAAACTCTTGCGGGAACGAACCGGGCAGAATACACCAAATACCATCAGTATCCAGCTCCAAGGGGCGTCCGACACGTTCGATTATCTCACGCGCCTTTGTGATTATATTCGAACCAGTGTAGCACACAATGCCCGCCATTGGCATAGAATGCCAACGCGCGCCACGTCTCATCACATAACCGTAGAAAGAATTCAAAATACACTTGTGTGCCAATTGCAGCGAGTCATACAGCACTTCTCTGCCTTTTGCCGCCTTAATCTCAGCAGCGTCACCTGATGCCAGCGCTGTATTAACAGCTGCCTTGGCCACTTTTGTAAGCCCTTTATACTCGTAGCGACGATCGCGGAAGGCGCGCACTGTATCTACATAAAAACTGTTCTCCTGCTCACAAACGGTGGAGGTGCGTGTTTCCAGTTTTGTGATTTTCGTCTTTTTATAAGCCTTACGGCAGTAGTCGCTGAGACGTTTCTTCTCATAGGCGGCCTGATCTTCGCGTGAGAGTTCATGGAAAGCACGGTTCAGTCCGCCTGGGAAGAGTGGTGGAAATTTTTCTGTTTCCAATTGTTGTTGTATGCGTTGGAATTCATTTCGGGTTGCCGGCAACATCTCTCCACGCCACAACCAATCCATGACGCGTTTACATTTAGCGCCTGGCTTGTTGAAATCGCATGCTGCGCAATCGGTTTCACTCACCATAGCCGAAGGTTGCAAGCGATTGGTGAGAATGATATTGGGATACATAGCGCCAACGTCCAAATGGTATATGACAGGTTGTTCCAGACGATTGGGTATATCATGGAGACCTCAAAATGAATATAATAAAGTTATATTAACATCACCTTAAATAAATGGAGACAACTCACCTTGCAAGGCTTGTGTTATTTCTTTATTCACCTCCTCTAAATTTGTCACTTTTTCTATTGGTACGCCCTCCTCCACCTCAATAGCATGCACTAACACTTTGGTCACATTATCTTTTAATTGGTTGACCATATTTGGATCGAGCCGAAAACGACATGGTATATCGGCTCGAAAGACACCCGATTCTAGCGCTTCTACATGTCCGCCAACGTACGTTTCCGAATCCAATACATGACCCTCATTCGACAACTTATTTAACTCATTCTGTTGCTTGTTGGGATATACAATGTTCGCATGATAAGCCTGCACCATAAGTAAGGTTTCACATAGCGTGCCTGAACCTTTGCGCAGAATTTCATCTGGTTCCATAGGAATGATTGTGTTCAAGGCGAAAATGAAGGGATGTACGTATTTCATATACAAATAGTAGGTGGCTACCGCATCCGACACTGAGTAATTCGACAAAACTTGTGGTTGCTCCACAGCCATGCGACACATATCTTCTGGATCCAGTTCAACTGGATCGTAACGCAATTTTGCCTTCGCTACCGCTTTTAAACCTTGCGAACCGACTGGTAGATAGGAATCACGTTTTACCTGATAAACATACAAATTATAAATAATTACTCAACATTTAAATAAATTATTTCATACCCAACATAGACAATCCATATGTATAGCGGGGCGACTCAAATAAAAACCATCTCGAAGTTTGGAGAAACCAATCTCTTGTTTCATATCTAAATCATAGACAGCAGCTCGCGTCTCAACAAATGGCCAATCGAAGAAATCACCGTTGTATGTCACCACAATATGTGGACGCACCTCCATTATGTGATCGAAAAATTTCTGTATTAAATGCATTTCATTATTTTCATTAAATACGATAAAATTGCCTTCGAATTCTGGTTTCGGTGTATATTCAAAGTCATATACATCTGTAGAAATTATTTCACGATTTGTTATGAGGTAACCTTGACCATCAATCATGTATGAAATCATCATAATTTGATCTGTTTGAGCATCCGGAAATTTCAACGGTAATTTTGTGGTTTCAATATCAAAAGCCAAAACTACTGGCTCAGGTCGCTCGAGCAGATCCGGACGCGCTGTTATTATCGGTAATTCCAAACCACCGCTACGACAACGTATATTGTACCATTGACCGCAAAATATGCTTAAATCAATTGACACACGCACATGATAAGGCACGTCGTGCTCACGTATATCCAAGATAAGATCCATATAGTCCATTTGTTTTTTAACTTCACCATCGCTACCGATATTGGACGCAGCCAGTGAGGATGACAACATTTGCATATAAAATGTGTTGGATTTCTCTCGTTCCAAATTGCGTTTGACCGCTGCATTTAATTCGCGACGCACCTTTGTCATGGCAGTTTGATTCAGAAATGAAAGCTTGAGAAAGTGTTGTTTTTTACCCACTAAATGATTTGCCAAGTCGAGATCGTCTTTACTTATGTGCTCCACATTTGCCAATTGGCCAGAATATTTGCGACTCAGAAAACGTGCCACCTCATGTGACTGTTTCTCATCTGGTCGTATCAATATATATGGTTTATATGCGACAGTGCATTTGAAGCGTGAGCCATCCATTTGAATGAAAAACAAATCCAATGCAGCAACCAGACGACGGTCTTCATCCAAAATCTCAGTCTGTAGAAAATAAAGCATTGCATATTAAAAGCTATTACTGACATACCATATTAAAAACGTAGCTTACTGAGTGCATGTTTATGAGGTAACCAGTACGCTCAAGGCTATCCTTCACACGGTCGAAGCCATATTTAGAGTCGATTTTATCGTTTTCACGCGACTGCCGGTATCCTGCCTCGTTGAAGAAGTCATCGCTGTGTGCAGTTCAGCAAGTAAAATTTTGTCATATTTTGTTTATATTGTATTTTGCTAAATACTTACCCTTCAGCACGCGTGTCCGATGTAAATTTGCCTGTGTTTTGAAGAACTTTTAGTCTATTGCCACCTCCCTCTTCCATTGTGCAGAGTGTTTTTCTCAAAACTTTGGATTTGCAGTAAAATTGCAGAACTTGCAAAAAACTTATTATAATTTAAGCTTACTTGGCGGCAAATTGTTTGAAGTGAAGAAGGGTTGCCGACTTTACTTCTATGGAAATACAGTCAGCTGATCGTTTTGTCATACCGGATGGAATCAATAAATAAAAGTTTATAAAAAAATACAAAAGCCAAAGATAGACGTGAAATAATAAATGAATAACTAAAATAACCATTTATTAATATATCAGATATTATTTGGTATAAATTTGATCCTCAGTCGGTTTATTCCAGCATTTTCACATATTGTTTATGTATTAAAGTTTGTATTATGCTCCGGCACCACTGTACATAGCTCCACGTCAAACGAAACGCGAATTAGCTCAGAAGCCGCTTTGCTAGATAAAAAAATACTTTTCGTTGATTTTTATAAGTTTCTATCTCACAGTATCCATTAAATTTAAATAAAATGGTGAGTTTAATCAACACAGTAGACACCGGTCATGAGGATATGATCCACAATGCTGTGCTGGACTACTACGGTCTGCATTTGGCAACTTGCTCATCAGATGGGTCTGTAAAGGTGTTCGATGTGAAGAATGGAAATCAAATTTTGGTAGCTGACCTGAAGGGTCATCAAGGTCCTGTGTGGCAAGTAGCATGGGCACATCCCAAGTTCGGAAATCTATTGGCTTCCTGTTCATATGATCGTAAGGTTATCGTATGGAAAGAGGGCGCCTCAAATGAATGGACTAAATTGTAAATACATACCCAAAAATATCAGATAACTCAGTATCGTTTACTAACAAAAATACATTTGTTTTTCTTTTTTTAGCTATGAGTACAACAATCATGATTCCTCCGTTAATTCGGTAGCTTTTGCGCCTGCCGAATACGGTCTGATTCTTGCGTGTGGCAGTTCCGATGGTTCAATATCCATACTAACATGCAACATAGAATATGGCGTTTGGGATAGCAAGAAAATTTCGAATGCACACACCATCGGTTGCAATGCAATTTCTTGGTGCTCTTCAACTGTGCCAGAACCAGCATTCGATCAGCGTGCTTCAACACGAAATACGACCGTCAAGCGCCTCGCTAGTGCTGGCTGCGATAATTGTGTAAAAATATGGCGTGAAGATACCGATCGTTGGGTGGAGGAAAATCGGCTTGAGGGACACTCTGATTGGGTGCGTGACGTAGCTTGGGCGCCTTCAATCGGGCTGGCCCGTTCACAAATCGCCTCAGCGTCACAGGACCGGCATGTGATTATCTGGAACAGCACTGATTTGACGACATGGTCGTCAACAATATTGCATACTTTTGATGATGTGGTTTGGAGTGTGAGTTGGTCAATGACCGGGAATATTTTAGCCGTTACTGGTGGTGACAATAAAGTGACACTGTGGAAGGAAAACAACGAGAACCAATGGATGTGCATCAACGACGATGCCGCGGCTACAAATGCACAAACAAACGAACAGCGCACGCTGTAAAAATTAATGGTTATTAATGGAAAAGTCTATGACAATATGTAAACGACTTCTAAATTTGCCAGAAGACAAAAAATACATATAAGACGTACATACATATAACAGCTAGAAATGTGTGCAATTAAAAATTCATAAAAGTATCTAAAGCATTTATATTTCTTTATGCACGTTTTATTTGTGGTTTCATATTGACATAGACATTTTATAAATTTTTCAGTTGCTGTTAATTTGAAATTGATAAAATGGTTTAGAGATAAGAAATTAAGTCTTGCGCAGATTAGTCTCGTATTAATGTTTATGTTCTTCTATTTCCGTATATGCATGACTAAATAGACATACATACATACATATGTTTATTTTTTACTATACTAGCTCAGTTATTGTGAAGGCGAGATTGTCGTATTGTAATACAAAATAAATTTCTAGCTTAAAAAAGATATAACTTTATTTCGCTCCTGTAAAATTATAGAAAAATTGGTCTAACATATATTTTATATTTCCAGAAGTGGGTTTGCAAATCAGATACTTGTATGTATGTATTTTTGCTTGTAGCCGAGGAAAGGTCTTAATTATAGAAAAATGCAAATAAAATATAAAAAATTTTATAGATTAGCTTTATACATGTGTCCCTGCTAGGAAACAGAAATCACTAAAATTTCCGCTTTGCATGGCTTTACATTTACAAGGGCGAAATGTCAATTATACGATTTAGTGAAATATTTGAAATGTGGGTCACTTCAATAATGTCGCCACATTATATGTATATACAACTAGGTAACAGTTGCAACAACAACCGGCCGAAAGCCTTGTATGTTGCCAGCAACGTTTCTTTGTCTTTTCCCCAAGACTTGCCGGCAAGCGATTTGAGGATTTTGTTGCGGTTCTGTACTTTGGCAGTTATCGCGGTCATGTGCGGAGAGAAGGACCACAGACTGTCTAATGTAACTCCTAAAATTTTAGGGTTGTTGACTGTCGGAATTTTAGTGCCGTCGACTGAAATGTCTAGATCCAGTCTGTATTCCTTCGTCCAGTTCGCTGTGAATTTAGTGGGAGAGAGTGTCAGACTTGTAGAGAAGAAGCGAGAAAGGTCGGAAAGATAGCCGTTTACTTTCGAGCACATGCCATCGATTTCATTGTCCGACGTCACTATCGTGCAGTCATCAGCGTACGAGGTCACGGAAATTCCCTCTGGTGGTTGGGGGAGTTTCGAGATGTAGAAACTAAACAGTAACGGGGAGAGGACACCACCCTGCAGAACCCCCTGTTTAATTCTTCTAAGTTTTTAGTTTTGACCTCGAAACAGTGCGGATGAATGCCGACCGCTCAGGTAGTTCATAGTCCACCGCTTCAGCCCTGGAGGGAGCGTTGATTGTTCTAGGTGCTCAAGTAGCGTTGTGTGATTGACTGTGTCAAAAGCTTTTGACAAGTCCAACGCTACGAGGATCGTCCTCTCACAGGGCGGCTTCTGGTTTAGGCCATGAGCTATCTGGGCGTTTATGACGCTAAGTGCTGTGGTGGTGCTGTGCACTTTCCGGAAGACATGCTGATGGTCTGCTAGACTCAGGTGGGGAATGAATATCGGGAGTAACAAGGCTTCAAGTGTCTTCACTACTGGGGAAAGATGAGTTATCGGACGATAAGATTCCCCTTTGTTGGCGGGTTTCCCAGGTTTCAGTAGTGGGACCACTCTTCCGACTTTCCATACACATCGGGTATTAGAACAGTGGTCATCGACAAGTTGAGGACCTTGATAAGGTAGCTTACTCCCCTCGAGCCTAGATGTTTTAGCATCAGCATGCTAATTTCGTCAGAGCCAATGGCTTTGGACGATTTGGCTTTTTTGATGGCACTCTGAACCTCCCCATCGGTGAAAGTAAGTGGTGCAATGTAAATTGCCGGCTAAAATAGCTCGCGCACTTCTTCGAGTGCGAGGAGGCATGGCCATCGAATTGAATTTCAACCCAGTCGTCATGTCTCCTCAGATTAGACAAGGCCTTGACAGTAGTCCAAAGCTTACTCACCCCGTTGAGAAGTTGCAGAACTTCAAATGATCTATCCATTTTGTCCGCTTATGCTGATTTACGATTTGCCGAATCTCGAAATTGAGATCAATTATTCGGGGACCACAGGGATCGGCATGGTGTAAGGTGGCGCGCTCGTTTGCTAATACAGCTGCTTCGGCTGGCAAATTAGGGCGGAGTTCCGCGATACTTCCAGCCAGTATGAAGCGAGCAGTAGCAGCAGCGATCCCCTTGTGGAAATGACGCTCGCCAACGATGACATCCGTAGGAATGAGTAGTGCGTTGAAGGTGCTCTCGATAAATTCTGTGAAGCCCACCCAGTTAGATTTGTTAAAGTTAACAAAGGTGCGGTTGTTCACAGAAATAAAGTCGGGAGGTTTCGCGATCGAGGTAATAATGGACAGATGGTCTGATGCGAGAGTCAGCATAGGTCGCCAGGTTATGCTATTTATCAGGCCACCGCTAGCGATGATAATATCTGGCGAGCTATTACAGGAGCCCATAATTCTGGTGGCGGCTTCGTCATTCATTGTGCAGAATGTGCGCGTTAAAGTTGCCTGGTGCCAAACGGTTTTCACCACGAATCAGCGCACATATGTTCGGATGATATCCTGTTGGGCAACAGGTAACTGAGGGGATGTATATATTAAAGATCTCGAGCTCGACATCGCCTGACCGGACAGCTATACCCTGACATTCAAAGATAGTGTCCCTGCGGTTGATGTAAACATCGATTAGACGATAATGCACGGTGTTATGCAGTATGAAGGCTAAGCCTCCACCATGATCTGACACACGGAGCAGACTGTGCGAGGAACCAATAGTTGCTGAGTGGAATTGAAATATAATACATATAAATAGTATTATAGTTTTGTTCACCTAACGGTGGTTTGTAACACCTAAGACTAATCGAGTTAGATATGGAATTATTTATAAAAACGACCAAGATGACGAGACAAGTTGGATTTCCTTTGACTGTCTCTCCGTCCGTCTGTCTGTACAAGCTGTAACTTGAGTAAAAATTGATATACATAAAACGATATACACACAAAACGCCTTAAGGGGGTATTTTAGTCTAGAGGCTTGAATTTTAGGTAATTTTTAAAGTATCGTAAAAAAAGCCAATTAATATTTTTTACTATCCATTTTTCTATTTCTTATTTATTAACATTACAGGAAAAGATCAAAACATAAGCTTGGGTGTAACCGAACATTTTATACTCTCGCAACTTGCAAGGATCAAAGCCCGGGTAATTACTTCAGGTTTTATATTAAAGGAAGTATTGATCCGATTCAACTTTCATTTATTTTATTATATAAATTTCAATTATATATCTTACACATTGCCCGATATTAGTCAACTAGAGACATTGGGGTCCACATATTCAGTACCTAGGGGCTTGAACAGTTTCGGCTCGATTTAGACAATTTTTAGTATGCCACCTTGTGATACTTTAAACGCATTATTCACGAAAAGGTTTACGCCGATACAAACATTCGTGCTTGATTTGCATAGTAGAAAGCGAAAGAATTAGATGGAATTTAAAATGGTATTATATGGGAAATAGGCGTGGTTGTAATCCGATTTCGCCCATTTTCGCACTATAACAGAGAAATATACGAGGAATATTATGTACCTAATTTGGTTGGAATCGGTTAAGTAGATCCCAAGATATGGGTTTTCACCTAAAAGTGGGCGGTGCCACGCCCACTGTCTAATTTTAACCGCGGTTCCTATAAAGTCATCTCATACCATCCCAGAGATAAAATTGAATGTCTCTGGCGTGTTTAGTGCTTGATTTATCGCGCTTTTAGTTGTTTTTAACAGTACCGTTATATGGGGAGTGGACGGGGTTGTCACCCGATTTAACCTATTTTCACACTGTCGATAGAAGTGCTAAAAATATTTGCTTCCAGTGAATTTTGTTATTATAACTTAAGCGGTTTAGGAGATATGCACATTAAACCTATTACAGGGCGGGACTACGCCCACTTAAAAAAAAAATGTAAACTGCGTATGCCCCTCCCTAATGTGATCCTGAATACCAAATAACAATCTTGTAACTTATTTGTGTTAGGGCAATTTATTTGTTTTTGATTAATGACGTTTTGTGGGCGTGGCAGTGATCCGATTACGCCCCTCTGCAAAACCAACCGTCTTACGGAACAAAAAAATATGTGTGCCAAGTTTCATAAAGATATCTCAATGTTTACTCAAGTTACAGCTTGCACAGACGGACGGACAGACGACTGTCTTTCAACCCGGCTTTCAACTCTTCTCTTCATCCTGGTCAATAATAATGTCGCAATCTTTGGTTCTACGGTTGGAAATTTATTTTTTCACGAAATGGCGACTGCCTAAAATATAACCAATTTTTGTACAACTTTTTTGAATTTTTAAAAATACTAAAAATTTATATTTGGGGAAATGGATAATTCCATAGACAAGTCTATAAGCGACTCTACAACAATTTCAGGTAAATCAGTTCAGTAGAACCTTACAAATCGTGGGTATCGTTTTAAAAACGACAGTTTCGAGAAAAATGCATTTAAAGTTTTAAAGTCTTTTATTCGATTAGTTCCGGCGGAACCCACTATATCTCTGAAAATGATTTGAATTTTTAAAAAATCCCCTTGTAGAGAAATTCTTGAATATTTAAACTATGAAAATATAAAAAAAATCGATTTTTTTATTTCTAGACTAGAATACCGAAAATTAAAATACAAAACTGAAATTTGGTGAAATTTGAAAACTCCTAAAATTACGATAACTCACTAAGTTAACGCATTAGAAGCATTAAATTTCACATACTTTTCGGTATAGAGGGTTATAGCAGCCCGATTAAAAATGGACATTGGTTGTGATACCGCCCACCTTTAGTTGAAATTCGACATCTCAGGACCAACTCAACCAAAGTCGGTACATAACACTGTACCGATTTTTATTTTACAGTATGAAATTGGGCACAACGGAATCGCAACCACGCCTACTTCCCATGCATAACTTTTTTAATTTCCATCGATGCTTTCACTTTCCAGTGCACAATTTAAGCAGCAATCAATATCGGTATATTTAGTGGAATTGGACAGGATTTTCACAGTTTGGAGGAAGTCGAGATGTTTCATCTTGTGGTTTTTGTTGCTATGACTTGTCTTTGTTCGAGGATCATCCGGTTTGGTACTTACCATTTAGAGACAAACTCGTCTGCTAGCCCTCTGTTCAGGGAAACTGTTTGGGGGACAAACGATATTCTACAACTCGATTCCACGTTAGAACAGCTTCATTTCTAATATTTACCATTTAATAAAGAAAACAAGGTACAAAAAAAGCTTGATTCCATTCCCAAGATAGTCACCCTAGATATATATTCCTTCACTAATTTGCGAATGCACCGCTACAACAACAATAACAGTTATATATTATATTGCTGGTATACTGCTGGAAAAAAATAAATAACAACAACAATCAAACTCAACTCAAAGCACAATTCGTTATTCGAAATGTTCTCGGCTATGCGGCACACTTTCTAAGCTAAAGTCCAATTAGTTTAGTTTGCAACGAAGTTTGAAATACCCAGAAACAATATATGTGTATATAAGTTATTAACGTGACAAGCTGAGTCGATTTAGTCATAATCGTCTGTCTGTCTCTTCGTACTCTGTATATACGCGAAGTAATCCCCCAGTTTGAGAGATATCGGTCAGAGATTTTTCACATGTTCCTTCTCCCCAAGAAACTACTCCTTTGTCAGAACTTCCGATTTGAGACCACTATGGGATGTAACTGTCATACCAACTGATCGGTCAAAATCACGTTCTTGTATGAAACACTTTTTTATTTGACGAGATATTTACATGAAATTTGGCACAGTTTATTGCCCAGGACAGCGGTGTAATCTCCAAAGAAATTGTTTAGATCGGATCACTAAACCATATAGCTGTCATACAAAGCAGCCCATCAAACTCAAGTTCATGTAAGGAATCGTTTGTATTTGTGAAGGGTATTATAGCTACCGTGCAGTAGAAGCTAACATTTTTTCTTTGCTTTTTATGATAGTTGTTTATGCTAAATAAGTAAAAAGAATATACATACAAATAGGCCCAACTAAGTCACTTATGATAAGCCCAAACGCTGTATAAAAATGCATAAAACCCAGTTTTTTAACCATACTCACCTCACACTTAAGTTTACACACAGCCACGGGCTCCAAATTAATTGGTAATTGTAAATTTAAATCCATTATTAATTTCCGCAATGTTACTTATACGCCTAGTGGTATATTTCTTACCAATACTTCAGCTGGCTATTTTCTTTGTAGATATGTGTGCGGGTGTGTATGCATGCATGGATGTTTGTATGTGTATATATTTGAGCATTAAACAACCGATTAAAGCAGAAACTCTGACTTGGCACAAAGTTCACTATACTCAAAGGCAGTACATTCCAACGCCACCATAAACAGTGAGCGACAACGGCAACAACAAATTTGTTTGTTGTTATTACTAGTATACACTCATGTTGCTTAAGTTGAGTCTAAGTTGTTTTCTGCTAATAATTATAAATAACAAAATATTCGCAATGTATAAACTTTGCACACCACTGTAAAGTATGTTCGGGGAACGTTTGGCGTTTTTGGTACGATGGCAATTCACGCAATTTGGCGCATTCAGGTAAACTCACTTGGACACTCATTAACCTCACTTTATATGCACATTTAATTTTTGTATTTACTAACGGCAACATGCCAACGACGCAACATATAACTGTACATAAATTTTTATATAGCAAACTATATCACAGTTGCGACTAAGTTCCAAAGTCTAGTAGTCGATATTAACAGCTCAGCTTACAGATCAATGCCACCACCAACGTCACCACTGTACTTGAAATATACTCATGTACATACTCACATACCTACATACATATACATCCATATGCATATACAGACATATATTATTATAATTTAAGGTGACTTGATTTTATGATTGGTTTGCCATATTTTACTGGTGTTAAGAGTGTAATTCAGGGTAGGTATTTATATTTGAAGGATTAGGTAAAATCTCAGCACATGCAGCTGCGGTCAAGCACCCTGAGTTTTGTATGTGAGCATAACGTATGCAAATTACGGTTGGTTCTTTAGGTCACTGCTGAATCAAATGGAACTTTCATAAGTGCTCGCTAACTCGGCTTCGCTTGCTTAAGTCTCAATATGTCTACATAGCGAAATGTCGCCACAAATAGATATATTTCCTTCCTTAATAGTAGCTCCCTACATAAAACTGCAATACGAATTCCATGCGCTTCAAATATAGGGCAGCTAAGGTTTAGTTAACCCGCCCCTAAAATAGGCCAAAAATCGGAACAAGGCAAATAGTCCGTCCAGAGGCCAACTATGTAGTGAGAGGCACTGCTAGCTTTTATTCCAATGATCGTCTATGACCAGCGATCAGAAATTAGTCTGAAACTTCTTCTAGCGCTGCAACAAACTGCAAAAATTTCCTGTGAAAGGTCCAAGTTTTACTTCGAATTTTTTTACTCTAAATCTTTTAACGGTATTCTTCATTTTATAAAAATCAAAATGTCTAATGATTTATAGCGTCGAATCTTTTTTAAGTTAAGGAACAACTTATATCAGATAGTTTCTCGAGGCTACACTCACGATGACTTCAAATGTAGAAACTTTGTCTACAACACCATATCAGCATTTGAGAAATTAAAAGTGAACCAGTTTGCAAGGGATAAGGCATAAAATCGCAAATAACATATGATGAAATATAAATCAAACTCACAAAAAACAAAAACTACATTTTCACGTATTTTAATACA